TTATTATTAGTTTGCTTATTATTTGTTTCACTTATTTATAATTTAAGTTTACCCACTGAGTATTTGGATTTCACATGTATCGTTATTTCTACTTCTGTTAGGTTTTTTTCTGTCTCTCTTAGTAAGGGGTGGAGGGTGTAACGGATTACCTAGCACCCCGACTGGTTACCTCCGTTGAACGATGCTCCTAGCGCTTCCTGAGGACTCCAAGCACTGCAGCAGACACCACAACCACCTAACTGGAGAAGCATACGAATGCTCTTAAGCATATGAATGCTGTAAGCAGCTGAACAGGAAAAGCATACAATCAACTTACACTCCTGGCAATCAGCATACAATCCAATTCCCCCAATAACGAGACGACACTTCGTTTTTAGGTCAAGCAGAACTGACTGTACTGGCACATAGAGGCTCTTTTATTCCCAATCCAAAAAACTTAGTACTGCCCACAGGGTTTTACAGAACAACCAATAACACACGTACATTACAGAAACCACTCCCAGCAATTATACACAAAATCCTCCCCTCTGCCTGTGATCTAATTATGGTAAACAATGGGTTAACAATTATCACAAGCAGGAAAAATACAGTTTTTATACATGTGCTGTAACTTTAAAAATATACGTATTCAGAATCAGCACACTTTAAACATAAACACTCAAAAATAAGGCAAATCCATCAAGTAGATAAAAAGTTAGACGGAAGTCCTTTGTGACCGACCGCAAGCACATTTTCCTGCCCAAAACAGTTCCATAGATTTGGGCTGTGTGGTTGGTCTATTTTACACAGAAAAATGACTAAGTCCCATTCGAATGCACGAACGGGGCCGTTCGTGCATTTAGCTTAGTATAGCAGTGAGTTCAAACTGCCGAACGGGACTTAGTCTCTGCAGCTGAAAACTGAGTGTGGGAGAAGGTAAGGGTCAGCGGTGTTCGTTGAAATGTGTAGCCGATTTCAGTTTCATGGATTTGGCTACACATACCGCTGACCTCGTTCGAATGAACAAAGATGGCCGCCGCCACGTGTTCGTTTGTCGAATGGCAGCCACTTCGACTACTAAGGCACTTCGGCTGCATCCGAAGTGCCAATTTAAAGCTGCAGAACTGCTCCAATACAATTTAAAGGGGCAGCAAGTCTTTTAAAATCCAATCTGCTAAAATAGTCTTTTATAGGCAATATCTTCCAAGGGCCATAGTCTTAATGGGGCATTGTTCCCAAAAGTCACAGTATGTCCCCAGATGGTTCTTAAAGGGCCAGCAACAGCATAATAAAATACAATATGCCCAAATACTGTATTTAAAGGGCCAAATCTCCCAGGGGCCAAAGTCAGCAGGCAGGAGGAGGGCAAACAGGCTTCTCCAATGCCCAGTGGCGAGGTTGGTTTCGCCACAGGGGGAAGTAACCTTGTTTAAGGGGTGCCCTCAAAGGCACAGCAGTGTAGAGACTGAACTCATATCTCATATTCTGCTGTATTCCTCTCCGCTCTACTATACCATCTGCTATATTGTTTCATATTGCCTTCCCCCTCTGGTTACAATTATTAACCGAACTGTTATTTTATTTTATACATTGTAACCTTCAGTGTAACTGCCTCATAGAGTCCACAGTTTAAAAGGACACTATAGTCACCAGAACAACTACAGCTTGTTGCATTTGTTCTGGTGAGTAGAATCATTTATCATTACCTTTTCAGAGAAAATGCAGTGTTTACATTATAGCCTAGTGATAAGTTCACTGGCCACTCCTCAGATGGCTGTTAGAGATCCTTCCTGGGTAATGGCTGCCTAAAATGCATCCAAACATTCAGTATCTCCTCCCTCTGCATGCAGACACTGAACATTCCTTATAGAGATTCATTGATTCAATTAATCTCTATGAGGAGATGCTGATTGGCCAGGGCTGTGTTTGAATCATGCTGGCTCTGCACCTGATCTGCCTCTGTGTCAGTCTCAGCCAATCCTATGGGGAAGCATTGTGATTGGATCAGGCTACCACTTCTGATGATGTCAGCAGACTGCTTGTTTTTTTTTGTTTTTTTTGAGGCAGACAGCATGCAGAGTTACAGCTTCTGGTTTGAATTCAGTAGGATTTTGCTATATTTATGGAGGCATGAGGGGCCCATGGGTGCTAGATGCTGGTTTTAACACTATAGGGTCAGGAATACATGTTTGTGTTCCTGACCCTATAGTGATCCTTTAAGAGTGGACAGTCTCTGGATCTTTTTCTTTACTAGTGTTTAATATTGTTCTATTTAGATTATCCCCCCTTTTTCGTTTACTATATATATATAATATATTTAATTTTACTATTCCTGTAGGATTTTTCCTATTATAGGTACTAATCTTATTTACAAACAGGTAACCCAGGTGAAACAAACCACCAAAAGAGTACACTTTGTGGAGCGCTGATACAGAATAAACTTACGCCTATACAATATGGGGAAGTACACAATTCCCTACAAGGGAGAAAAATATATATACAATGGTGAAGTATGTTGAGCTCCACGGGGTGCTTAAAAGAAAATATGGACCACATATTTAACCACTTATTTAATTCCCTTTATTGAGACAAAGGTTTTTAATATTTATATACATATATTAAAAGTTATGTTTTATTAGGGTTACTCTCTGTCCATGAGGGTTTATCCATTACATGTTTTTTCCTTGTGTTCTTTTTGCTAAAGCCTGCTCACACGATATGGCGCAATATCAGGCTATAGAGCCAACATGGAAAAAGCCAGTGCCCTCCCTATAGGACTGTCTGCGGTGCACGAAGCAACAATACAAGGGGAACACAATATTCCAATAGCACACAGGTCAATGAAATACCTAGGCATCCACCTACCAACTGACACTTAAAAATTATTTGAACTCTACTCTTCCCCTTAATGAAAACCCTTATTAAGGAACATGGATAAATGGACGGATGGGCCGCATCTTATTTTTATTTCAGGCCCTGACCATCCCTGTGACCATATCTGATCTAACACCACTTCAGAAGGCGATAGAGAAGTTTCTATGGCAGAATAAAAGGAACAGGATTTCCAGAAACGTCCTTTATTGCCCTAAATCGAGGGGAGGATTGGGAGATGGGTAGACCTTGAATCCCTTTAGGCAGGATCCGGTCTCCCGCAATATTTTATGTTGGTCCCTAAGGAGCACAGGCCAACCATGCGCACTATGTACCCAGCGATACTCAACTCACTAAGAATATCTAGCTGTGCATCTTCACCATCTCCGTTGACACCACTATTGAGAAATGAGGCCTTCTCACCGCGTATGACGGCTCGTAACTTCCGAACCTAGAAAGAGTGGGATTACAGAGGATTTGCCACATGTACGAGTCTGACGCAGTAATTTAATTCGAAGCACTTAAAGGGACACTATGGTCACCAGAACAACTGCAGCTTTATGCATTTGTTCTTGTGAGTAGAATCATACCCTTCAGGCCTTTTGCTTTAAACACAGCCTTTTCAGAGAAAATGCAGTGTTTACATTACAGCCTAGTGATAACTTCACTGGCCACTCCTCAGATAGCTGCTAGAGCTGCTTCTTATCTCAGTCTTGCCTAGTGTGCATCACAGCATATCAGTAGCTCCTCCCTCTTCATGCAGACACTAAACATTCCTCATAGAGATTCATTAATTCAATTTATCTCTATGAGGAGATGCTGATTGGGCAGGGCTGTGTTTGACTTGTGCTGGCTCTGCCGCGGATCTGCCCCCTTCACAGTCTCAGCCAATCCTATGGGGAAGCATTGTGATTGGCTCAGAACAACACTTCTGATGATGTCAGCAGACAGCTTGCTATTCTGAGGCAGCCAGGGGCAGAGCCAGCAGCTTCACGCTTGCATACAAGTAAGATTTTACTACATTTAGGGAGGCAAGAGAGGGCCAGGAGGGCTAGATGGTGGTTTTAACACTATAGGGTCAGAAATATGTTTGTGTTCCTGGCCCTATGGTGCTCCTTTAAACAAAGAGCCCACCTTACCACGGCAGAGTTTTTTTCATTATTTATAATTTAAGGATTATGTGAAACACCCAGACATGATTGAAATAGCAAATCTAAAACTTTCTTTGAGAGGCTATGTCGGAATGATACCATGCCATCAGGCCTTATTACTCTCCTACATGCCCACTTCTGTTCACTTCTGTATACTGAACAATGGGAAAATGAATTTGGGGAATGACTGGCAGGTATACACTGGCACCACATGTGGGAGGCCAATACTGCTGTATCCATATGTGTGTCACTACAGGAGCAATAGTTTAAAACTATGTTCCGCTGGTATACCACCCCGGTAAAATTATATAACAAAATAGGAAAGTTAAGAGATCTATTCAATAAGATTGGGGATCTAAAAGTTACCTTTCATGCCAAAGTGGGTGTGATAAAAGACAACAATGGCAGGGACTTAACAGAAGACAATCAGATAAAGAAGAGATGGCAGGAATACACTGAAGATCTATACAGGAAGGATCTTAACAGCAGTGATGACCTCAATAGTTGGTCCAATGAGATGGAACCAGAAGTCTTAGAGAGCAAAGTAGATAACAAGGCTGCAGGAGTTGATGAAATCCAAATTGAACTATTCAAAATTCTGCTAGATGATGCTGTGAAATTTCTGCTTGCCTTATGCCAACAAATTTGGAAAACTCAAAAGTGGCCAAAAGACTGGAAAAGATCAGTCTACATCCCAATCCCCAAAAAAGGCAATGCCAAAGAGTGCTCCAATTATCGAACAATAGCACTAATTTCACATGCCAGCAAGGTAATGCTTGAGATCCTACAAGCTTGACTCAGTCAATATATGGACCGGGAATTACCAGATGTACAAGCTGGGTTCCGCAGAGGACGAGGCACAAGAGATCAAATTGCCAATGTATGATGGATAATAGAGAAAGCCAGAGAGTTCCAGAAAAATATCTACTTCTGCTTCATAGACTATTCTAAAGCCTTGGACTGTGTGGATCACAACAACATGTGGCACATTCTTAAGAGATGGGAGCACCAGATCATCTCATCCGCCTCCTGAGAAATCTGTATGTGGACCAAGAAGCCACAGTCAGAACCGAACATCGGAAAGCAGAGTTCAAGATTGGGAAAGGAGTGCGTCACGGTTGTATATTGTCACCTTATTTATTCAACTTATATGCGGAAGACATAATGCGTAAGCCTGGGCTGGATGAATCCAAAGCTGGAATCAATATTGCTGGAAGAAATATCCACAACCTCAGATACGCGGATGATACTCCTCTGATGGCTGAAAGTGAGGAAGAACTAAAGGACCTGTTAAAAGAAGAGTGCAAAAGCTGGCTTGCTGCTTAACGTTAAAAAGACTAAGATCATGGCAAACAGCAATCTTAGTTCCTGGCAAATAGATGGGGAAGAAGTGGAGGTAGTGACAGATTTTCTTTTCCTGGGGTCCTAGATCTCCTCAGATGGTGACTAGTCATGAAGACGTTTGCTTCTGGGGAGGTAAGCTATGGCAAGCTTGGAGAAGCTGGTAAAAACTAAAGATCTTAGACTATCAACAAAGGTCCGCATAGTCAGAACTTTGGTATTCCCAGTAGTAACATACGCATGTGAGAGCTGGACTATAAAGAAGGCTGAGCATCGTAGAATTGATGCCTTTGAACATTGGTGTTGGCGAAAACCGCTTAGAATCCTTTGATTGCAAGAAGATCCAATAAATTCGTACTACAGGAAATCAAGACAAACTGTTCACTGGAAGCTATGATCATGAGGCTGAAGCTCAAAACTTTTGGCCATATAATAAGAAGGCAGGATTCTCTAGAGAAGACTAGGATGTTGGGAAAGATTGAAGGCACACGAAGAAGGGGACGCCTGAGAGGGAGATGGATAGCTGAAGTCACTGAAGCCACGAACATGAAGTTGTTGGAGCTCAGAGGGGCAGTGACTGACAGTTGTACCTGGCGTGCCATGGTCCATATGGTCACGGAGAGTCGGACACGGCTGAACAACTAAACAACAACAAAATTATATAGAATGAAAAAGACACTAACGGACAAATGCTGAAGAGGGTGCGGCCATACAGGCTCTTACATCCACATGTGGTGGGATTGCCGCCAGGTACAAGTATTCTGGAGAGAGACTCAGGACTTAATGGTCCGGATCTTCCACAGGGCGCCGGACTTAAACTCTTGGGTTTACTTACTAAACAGACCAGTTGAGGGCTGGGCAAGCTGTGAACAAAAATTAATACAAGGTTACACTAGCTGCTAGACGGGCATTAGTACAATCGGGGCTTAAGATGAACGTCCCCACTACACTGGTAATAATATATAAATTGAAGGACGCTTGTCTGATGGACAACTTGACTGCAAGGGTTAGAAGTTCAATGAAAAAATTCGAGAAAATATGGGAACCGTGGCTAAGTAGCGATCTGACAGACTGAATGGATGCAGACATGGGAAACAATAAACACCAGGGCTCCCTTTCCCTGGGACTCCCCTGCCCCCTCCTTCCTCCTCTTCTCTCTTTCTATCTCCATCTTTCTCTTCTCTTCTATTTCCACATCTCCTCAGTGGGACGGTTTCCAAGATGGCACAGGGTGACCCCGCTAATAAAAGATTATACACACTATGCTACTGATGGTAGCGGGGGAAGTGACTAATCTCTACTGACCCACTTATGGCAAAATATGAAAATATAAGATACCCAACCATCTGCATATAAAAGGGACCATTGCATGTGTTTGTTTACCAAAAAGTATGTGACAGGTTTTGGCAGAGCAGGTACACCGTTGGGGACAACAAAAGTTTTAATCTTTGTTGATACCTTCAACCTACTCAGAGTCCGAGAGGGTGACAAGTGGAAAATGGCATTTCGGATCCAGTACGGTCATTTTTAATATCTGGTTATGCCCTGCATACTCTGTAATGCCCCTGCCTCCTCCCAACATTTCCTCAACGTTGTGTTTCACAACCTCCTTGATCAGTGTGTAGTTGTTTACTTGGATGACATACTGGTCTTCTCCCTGGATCTTCAAACCCATCGTCTTCATATGACTGGAGTAATGAGACGCTTGCAGAAATTTAACCTTTATGCAAAAATAGAAAAATTTATCTTCCAAACAGATTGTGTGGAATTTCTGGGTTTTATCCTTAAACCAGACAAAGTGGAAATGGATTCCATTTTGGCATAAGTGTTTTTATTTTTATATTTTGTTTTCGTTATATTTTGTTATTGTTTTGTGGTGTTTTTATTTTTAATTTTTTATTATTTATTTTTTATGTTCATGTCTTTACATTTTATATATTATTTAAATTTTTTATTTATTTTGTATTATTTACATTTCTCTCTCTCTCTCTCTCTCTATATATATATATATATAGTAACAAATTTACTTCCCTATGTGTGTATGTCCAGGATCTTTTGGCAACTGCACAGCCCTCTAGGGTAAGGAAGCTAGGTCAAGACAAAGTCCAGTTTCAAAGTCTGTTTATTTTCTGTTGTTAATAAGTGGCCAAGTACATCAGGATACAACAGGATATACAAAGCAGCAATGCATAAAAATGGCAGAAAACCTTCCAACCTTCTTTCTCCACAAAACTCTTCCCCTCTCCACCCTGCTTTGACAACAGTTATAAAGTTGCTCACAGCCCCTACAAGTGAGGCTAATGACCTCGTTAGGCAGTGAGCCAGAACTCATCAGAAAACCTGGGCTGGACTCATGCACAGCCACTCTGACAGTGGGGTAGAAAATCGGCCCACCCTGAAGTTATGTATACTCCACCCCAAGGACCCAAATAACAACATAGAAAAAAAAAAAACTACATTTAAGCTTAACTTTCCCTGAGGCTGCATGTGCTTACCCACATGTCAGGATAGTGGCTGTGCTGCAAAAGTCTGGGTGCCAGATATAAACCCCTGACCACCATCCCCAACACTCTGTCACATATCCTCCCCCCCAGCTCAGACCTAGTGGCATGAGTGACCACAGATAACAAATTTAGTCGTGACAAACTGTCAGCATTTCCATGTTTAGAACCAGGCCTATGTTCAACTGTAAAATAAAATGGTTGCAAACTGAGGAACCACCTTGTCACTCTGGTATTATTATCTTTGTTTTGTTTCATCCAGGTTAAGGGAGTCAACATTAATTTTCTGCCCAGCAGATATTTTAGTGAGTCTAAGGCCCATTTTATGGCAAGGCATTCTTTCTCCACTAAACAATAATTTTTCTCAGCGTGAGTCAGCTTCCTACTTAAATAAAACACTGGGTGTTCTTCACCCTGAATTTCCGGAGACAGAACCGCCCCTAACCAAATCTCTGGTGCATCGCTTTGCACAATAAACTCTTTAGCGAAATCTGGGGTTACCAGAACTGGTTGGGCGCACAAAGCCTCTTTCAAATTTAAAAATGATTTTTCTGTCTCTAATGACCACCTCACCACTAGTGGGGCTTTTCCTCTTGTGAGGTCAATTAAAGGAGCTGCTGATGTAGCGAGTGACCTCTCCACTGGTTTTTGGAGGGGACTACATGCCAGCCTTTTAACCTGTGACTATGGCCCCTTTAATTTATTGTGGTTGAGAAAACCTATTTGTGGCTATTGGGACTTGAAACAATGGTTCTTTAAACTCCCGAACAGTCGAAGTGGCCGACATTCGAACATGTGGTGGTGGCCATCTTGTTTGCATGGACCAAAACCGTGAATAGACTTCAGAGGGACTTAGCCACGAATGCCCTGGAACAATTTTCGGCATGAAATCCTGTGTTCGCTTGGACAAAAATATGACTTCCATAAAATTTCTGAGCCCCTTATCTGATTTGGGTGATTTTTGAATATGTTGTTCACCAAGATCAGGGCTACTAGGGGATGTAAGATGTATGGGGTACTTATTGGACTTTACAAAAATGTGTGTTTTTTTTTCTGCCTGGGGATAATGTTTCTAATGCTTTATCTGGCTTAATTATATCACAGGCAGAGGGGAGGGTTTGTGTACTGTATGTGGGAGTGTCGTTCCTTATCACATTGTTTTTATTGGTTTGCATACTTGGTGCTCAAAAAGGTCCATCTGGGCGTCAACATAGTTTGGAAACTTGCATAAAAGGCCAGTGTGCGCCGTTAAAGCGGAGTTACTGTTTTACCCGCAACATAGAGTCTCTTCTCGTGTGGAAGAAAAGGCTGCATCTACCCTGGGGATTGCTATATCACTATACTCCCCAGGGATTATAATCACTAAGCTCTTCTAAGAGCTGTTCCTTGACTCTCTGGAGGAAGATAGGTTCACCCACTGGAATCTGGAGCCTGGTCGTAGGTCCAGGGTGGGTAGGAGACGGCGAGTTTCCAGCCAAGCTGTAACACTGGACTTGGGGACTGCGGTGCTGATGGTGTTTGGTGGAAGGCTTGGAGTCCTCGGTGAGCACTAGGAGCATCTGTCGGTGGAGGTACCCAACCAGGGTACAGGAAGCTACGTTACAAGCAAAATCAGGAATAAAGTCCTGACTTGCTTTTCAGTGAGGGGGCATGGCCAATTTTGTATGGCCTTCTCTTTTGCTGTTTAGGGCTTAACTAGCCCTCTCCCAATCGAATAACCCAGATATTTTGCCTCTTCCAAACCAATAGTACACTTTGGTGGGTTAGCAGATAAACCAGCTAGGTGGATAGAGTCCAGTACTGCCTGCACTTTGGGAAGATGTGAAGCCCAGTCAGAACTGTGAATGACTATGTCATCTAAGTATGCGGCTGTATGACGGCTATGAGGCTTCAAAATCCTATCAGTCTTTGAAAAGTGGCAGGGGCCCCATGTAACCCAAATGGTAGCACCTTGTATTGGAATAATCCCTGTGATGTTCCAGTCTTTTCTTCTATTAGTTGTCTCACTATATAATTAACTTCCCCAACTTGTTCAATAACCTCATAGGGGTCATGCCAAGATGCCAGAAATTTATTTTCTGCTGTAGGGACCAAAACAAGTACCCTGTCTCCTGGGTGAAAAACTCTCAGTGTGGCATTTCTATTATAACTGTTTTTCTGGGCCTCTCGGGCTTTCTGCATATGTTCTTTAACTATTGGCATGACAGCCACCATCAGGCCCGGACTGGCCATCGGGCACACCGGGCAAATGCCCGGTGGGCCGCGGTGGCCATGGGCCGAGGCCGGCAGGGGAGGTCCCAGGATCTCCCCTGCCGGTCTATGCAGGGCCGGCACTCTCCCAGCGCTGGCCCCGCTTTGTGCCACGACGGGCCGGTGGGGAGATCAAGGATCTCCCTGACCGGCCCACATGCGGCCGCCGGCGGGGAGGGAGGGAGACAGCCAGCCAGGCTGGAGAGAGGACTCGGCGGAGCTCTAACTTGCAGC